ACAATGATATAAATGGAACTTTAAAACTTTTTTAAGTGTTACAGTGATATTTCGTTATATGTTCCATAATATCAATAATATTGATTTCCCCGCAACATCCATAATTATTACAAATGGCAATATAACGAAATATCTTTTATGCGATGTTTGTGGTGTAATAAAAATCTGTGTTTCGATTGCGTTGTTGATACGTATTACTCACTTATACGTAATAATATAGAATAAAAATATACTGTTAGTCCGATATTTGAAAATATACATGCGTTCGTCGTCACTGTTAAACTGTTGTAATAACAATAGAATAATAAAATAATTTACTCAAATGTACATAATAATACATATACATATTCATAATAACAATATTAAACGCAATAACTTTTTTGTACGCGAGAAAAAACCAATAGGTCCGTCGGGATTCGAACCGGAGATTCCTTTCTACATTTGCTCCTTTCGAATCTGAAATGGCTCCCACAGCACCACACACCCACAGAGATGGTGAGATCGTGGGGTCATAAAACCCCCGCAGGGGGCGCCAGAGTCCCCGTGTGGTGAGATCGTGGTGTCATAGAATCCCCGCAGGTGGCGCCAGAGACCCCGTGTGGGGAGGCGTGGGGTCATAGAACCCCCGTAGGAGGCGCCAGAGACCCCGTGTGCGAGATGTACCCTCACGAGCAAAGTTATTGAGATATCTGACTATTGATTATTATAAAACAGATCAGGAGCAATTTTTTGATACCATAATGTTTGTGTAAAAAGGTCATTTACTACCTATTTTGGTAACAACAAATTGATACTTTTTCTTTTGCGAATATCTCATTAACTATTAACGGTGCTGGGGGAGCAATTTCAGATTCGGAAGGAGCAAATTGGGAGCAATTTTTGAGATATAAATCGTTAAGATACGTTAACATTCGGCGCCAATTATTTTCCGGATATTTAGACTTATAAAATAGTGTAATTTATCAATCGCGAATAATTCCCTCTGCTGTAACTTGTAAAGCTTCCATTTGTCATCGTAATTTTCATTTCCGACGACATACGATAGATGTGTGTGAGAAATTGCAGTATTCCTTTTCTACATTAAATTTATAAAAGGCGGGTGTAAATAACATTGTGGCGCCATTTCATGAGAAAGCAATGGCATTAGTTGGCTAATGGTTTCAATGTTCGGCCGTGGATGGCGCCACGGGTGCTTTTGGCTTCATTACATAATTAAGAATTCAAATCTAATTATGTAAAGCAAAGTACAACTTATAGTTATTACATGCGACATCGATTCAGAAGTATTCAACAAACAGATTGTCCTCATTAAAAGAACACATAACTGTAATCAGCCAAATTTTACCGTATTGTTCTTTACAAGCACGAAGTATCATGACGTAAGAGCGAGTTCTCATTCCGCTTGACGGGTCTCGGCGTGTGGAGTAGAGTGAACAAATGCCTGACCCGCCGGTTGTACCCAACACGCCGTCCCAGATGGCGGCACAGTGACGGTACAGACGCGACGCTGGTTGCTCGCAGCTCGAGTCCGTTGAGTACGTTTTCTCAGCTTTCCGTGTCACGGTGTCGCGAGCGCGTCTGTCGTCGACGCTCGCGGTGTCCGTCGGTTTTTATCTAATCGCCCGAAGAAAATTCGATTCCGCGAGAGTGCGAGTACCGGTCGCGAGTCGTCGGTCGAGGCGTGCGTGGCGAGAATCGGAACGGCCGCTCGGGTCTGTGGAACGAGGAGAAAGATAGACGACGGGGCCAGCGACAGTGTGAGGCGAGCCACGGGAAGAGACGAAGTGAGTGCGACAGAGAGGAAAAACACTGGTGGAACGAGAGGTGGACAGGGATAGAGAGTTGTGTGAGATAGAGAGAGATAGAGAGAACGTGATAGGAGGTACACGGAACAGGGCAGGAACGAGAAGAGGCTAGAAGTGTTCGGAGCACTTCGTCGACGAAGAAGCAAGGGAAATCTACCTTGTTCTCTTCGTGGTGGTTGGATCGAAGGGGTCAGAGGGGTTGCGGGTGGGCGGGGTACCGAAAAGAGAGGAGACACGCTCGTGAAGGAGGAAGCAATCCAGTAACGAAGGGTGTACGTATCCGTGGTGTCTCGATGAGAGAAGAGTAACGTGTTCGACGAACCGGAGTGCGAGAAAGAGACAGTGCGGTGCCGTGTAAACATACATCCCATTGCCGTGAGTGCGTGCGCGAGTGGTAATCAACGGCGGTTCAACGTCGTCGTCGACGAAGAGTTTTGTTTGTTGGCTGCATCGGCTTTCTACGGACCAAGGGGCCAGGTGATACGTGTGTACGCCCAGAAAGAAAGGAGCCTACGGGGCGGAAAGGAATCGGCTGAGCAACGGTCTCGGGTGGCGTGTATCAATCATCGCGGTGTACGGATACACGCGTATGAAACTTTATCACAAATGACAGTCCATCGGACGGGAGGGCAAGTCAGGTGCTCGCTGGATTCGTCTGTCTAGCGAGGAAACCGGTAAGTCCTGGCCTTTATTCAACGGTACATTTTAGTGGACTCTTCTGTAAAAATGGCTCCTGACGTTTCTCTTGTCCTCTTTGTGTATCATCCACTCCCAATCGCACCGTCTCTCTCGCTCTGTCGGCTTTGACCGATCTTCCTTGCTTCTACACAGCCTTGCGGTATTTCGCGCACATAAATCGACCGTTCGTTCAGTTTTCCCCCTGACTTTTCGGTCATTTCGTTCCTTTCCTCGTCGTCATTACAGCGGCGCAAAGTGTCCCCGAATTTTAGTTGGCGTCGCGCGTGCCATTGACAGGCCTTTTAACCATCGACCGATACGTGTTTCGTTTATAAACATTCGCGATCTACCCTGCTCGATTCAACGCACTAGTTTCGTGCACGCTATTAAACGCGATTTACATCCGTTACGTTTTAAGGAAAGATTCTTCTGCCGTTCGTTACCGCAACATCGTTTCCGCCATATTTACTTCTAGCGGGTACATAACCTGATGCGACCTTGAAACGCTAGAGATAGAGAAATAGGCAAGCGAACTATCTCAACATCCGACGTTTCGTTGGACAATGCGTATAGCTTCACCAGTTACTAAATGTATTTATTTATTGCGTTGAATACTAAGTAACGTTCCCCACAGGTATCGCGAAATAATTTGAATAACAAGTTACTAAGTTTAGGCGTCTTTGACCGACATATATTCAGACGAGGACAGTAGTAGTTATTTATGACTGAACTTAATAATTTCATTTGTTTTTACCAAATAAACCTTTTCTGTAGAAAGGAGAATTTATATGAAAAAAGTTATAATGTATATAATTATGACAATTATTTGACACCTTGTATATTAATGATAATTTAGGTCACGGAAAGTTTGTTTTTTTAACAGCGGCAAAAGTGTTCTGGTGTAAATGGACGTGTCTGCAGCACCTGCACTGGTGCTGGTGAACATATTTCTTCCACGGCCGAGCACGGAAACCAGCACAAAGTTGCTGGGTAAGAGCAGTGTATCGAAAAAACGCATGCCCAATCGCTTTTTTCCGAGCTCCGGTTGAAATATGCCTTTTGTATGGTACAATTATCCGGCTTTATCTCCAAGTCTAATTCATTGTCATTGAAATAAGGGACTGTTTCATGCGCGGCCTCGTAAAACTGAAGGTTTTATCTCTGGCGAACTTCTAAAGAATCTACAGGCTTGAATAAGATGCGCATCGGGGTAGCTTGTATTATAAAATCGTACTTTCAATAGTTAATATTGATGTTCATGCAAATGGAACGCTCTCGAGTGGATCAGAAGACATACAAAAACTAATATTCTTACATTTCAATAGACGAACATTAAACGAAGAATAATTCATATCGTGATCACTTGGATGAAGAGACTGTAAAAAATATCGGAGTGGTTGGATCATCCAATGGTCTAACGATACGAAACAGTTTATCCTCACCTTCAACTCTCAATGCGTCATAAAATATTCCATTTTTGGTTTTCTGTGTAGATAAGTAATTGCATTAATATTCAGTGAGACGGCAAAACCGGTTGCTAATTCTTGGAACACGATTAACCAAAAAAACTATCCACGCAAAAGTGGGTATACATTTAGAATACTTTGAAAACACTTTGAACACTTCGTTTCATCGTATTCAAATTCTTATTGACAGTCATTTGAATAATATCTCAGTTTACCAAAGCAACGTACCGAAACACGCCTGCGCAGGCGTCCTAAACCCCTCATTAGCCAACGACTGCCCCCAAAACCATCCATCGAACAGCTTGACCGGAAGTGCACGGAAGGCCAGAACGGGTGTTCCGTCGTAGACCGAAACGACGGTTATACAGTCAGACGATACCGTTACTTTTTATTATTTTATTCCTTTTTTTTCAGTCAATTTATATATTTTGCAAGACCGACCCTTTGCAATTTTAATTTCGTTAACACAAAGAGAATAATAGACAAAAGAAGCGAACATTTGGTCTGCAGTCCGCCACATGCGCTCGGTAACCTGGGACCCATCCGCGCCGGGCCTTACCGGGGCGCGCTGACTCGCAGACAATATAATCATAAAACCCTACCGTTGAGAGACTCGAAAATTCGTCGCGGTCAACTCGCACCGCGACCACGTGCGCGATATTTTCCTGACGTCCGCTTCGCCCTGAAGGAGAGGTATTCCACCTCCGCGTCGCGTGAAAAACCCGAGAAATTTGCCTTCCCCTTCAGGGCATCACCAATAAGGAGGCGAGTTTTGGTCACGCCTTCATCAAACTTTGAGGAAGCGCGACGTCACACGAAACTCGAACAGACAGTCGAAAAGATACACACAGTCGAAAAGATACATACAGTCGAAAAGATACATTCAGTCGAAAACATTCAATAGAAAACACTCGTTCGCAAACACTCGTTCGCAAAACATACTCGTTACGACTAGAGTCACACGGACTCAATTCATTCGCATTAACTCGCAATCGAACAATCATTCGACAACATTCGCATCACGATTCGCCAGCTCCAACGGTCGAGCAATTATTCGTTTTTCTCACTAAGAAATTGAAACAGTTGCCTAAAATTAATTTGGCGGGCAACAGTTCGCAACCGGACGCGTACCACGACGGTCGAGCCTGGAATTTACAACTCCAGGCGGATTCGAAAGAGAAATCCACGCGGACGGACGCGACAACGGGTCAGTCGGCGTTTAGCTTCGAGTCAATGAAACGGAAAACGAGGGAGGGGTGGGGGGGGTCCTCTATACACATTTCGATTGGTGGGTTAACGAACCACCGAAATGTTAATCTCTTGTTACGTCACGTTCGTTTACCGTCCGTCCGAGAAAGGGGTCAAAGAGACGGAAGGAACGAGGGGTAGAGGAGGTGGCGCATGAAAAGAGTGCGGGACGACTAAAAATGGCGTGGCACCGTGTATACACTATCGTCTCTCACGGATACCAGAGTTGGGCAGAATTTTATTCGAATAATACACAGTGAAAAGCATAATATTTCAGGGTATCGTTCACAGCTTTAAACAGTTAATGAGATTAAATAATTGTTCGACAAATGTCGATTCATTCATGAAGAAGTATTATTTTATTATAAAAATTGAAATTTCCACGTTTAAACAATCAAAAATGACGAAATACTTTCTTTTATCGTTTATTCGTTATTCGAAAGTTTTTATCTAGATAATGATTTTACCCATCTCTGACGGACACAGATTGCAGAGCCTCTGCTCTACGATCGTCCTTCTTTCTCCCTCCGCCTTTTTCTCGCCTTCGAACATCGTGGAATGCATGCGTGCACACATTCACATTCGAACCCGCCTTTAGGAACGATTCTAATCGCTCCTAATTATCCGTGGGCCGTGCACGAACACCACTCGACTCGATCAGGCCCCGCCGCGGTCCCAGAGACGATTCCGCGCGCGGCCCTCTTCTGCGTGTCGAAGCCTCGAGGAATCTTTCCTGGTAACGGTATACGCGCGGCTACCTGTTACGCACCCGTATTGCCTGTGCGTTTACGCTTACGCATTACCAATTGCTTATCGCCTCGCGAATCGTGGATTTCACGGAATCCTCCTGCGTACGTCAGGCCCCGTTCTGTATGTCTTTCATGCAGTTGGGAAACACCGTTTTAGCGAAATACCATTGAGCAACGATCACTCTTTTTTAAACTTCCTTCGTTTATTTTTTTTTAACTTTGACGTTGTGGAATGTGTATGGGCAGGAGCGATAAACAAAGTATACTACTGCTAGCTGTTTGATTGATAATTTTCTTGCTAGGAAAATGTGGTTAACACTAGGACTACCAAGCCAGTCAAAATGACTGGTTAATACATTCTTACAACAACGATTAAAATGTTATAATAATACATTTTCTCAGATCTTTTGTAACTTGTATTACGACATGACATTAAAGAAATTAGTTAATTTATAAATTAGTAAATTTTCAAAAGTTTGCCATATTTATCGATCGATTGAAAAAGATATGCGTTTATCGTTGGTAGTTCTAGTGTTAAGGAGAGCTTTAAGATGATTGTACGTATTTTCTTATCGACCCTTTTTTTCTGGAGTTTTCAAGGTTTATTGTTTTATATATAAACCTATACTTTTTTACGTCCACATTTTGGCGCACACTGAGACGAATTTGGCAAGCATCGTATGAAATAATTTTTTTGTTCTAAACCAAAGAAACAGTAAGAAAGGATCATTTACTTTCAGTAAAATGATCTTCGAAACTGTGTCCATCAGCTGTAATAGACTCGCGTTGGAGGTTTGAGAAACGGCTGCTTAGTTCTATTTATGACGTCTGCACTGGATAAGCATGCAAAAAAATGTTCGATCGGACAGCTGACAGTAGAATAATTTAAGCTGATCAAATTTCGTGGTCCACCGTGTATACAAGTTGTTAATAAAAATGTGGAATACTTTTACATGATGGATTCTACAACAAAGAAACTGAAAAATGACGAAATTGCATTTGAGGCTTCGTTTCTAAATTATTAAGTGTGGAAAGACAGGTGAAACACGTCTGGCGCGATAGTTTACAAAGTTTACACTCTTCAAACAGTCGATTCCCAGCTGGTATACAAGCTCGATCGATGACCTAGTTAAATTCAATGAATGAAATAAAATGACATGAATGAAACCGACTCAAGAAACAGTTGGAGAACTCTTAAGTAGAATAATCCGCCTCTTAGTTATTAATTTAACAATTAATAACTCGGAAATGCAGCCTCGAACGTAACTTTGTCTTAAGTTTGGCATGTAAAATTCACCCTGTAAAAATGTTCCACATTTTTATTAACGTCCTGTATAAAGAGTGTCTGAGGTGGGAGGAGCTAGATGGTTGGCGTACGAGTTCATTTAAAGATGTTGGCCTGGTAAGCATCAATGCACGATTCCGTACAATAGGCAAACGTAACACTTCTTCATCCCCATTACCGTTGTTATGAAGGATGCATCGCTGCGTTCCAATTTTTGATCGTTGGATCACGTTTCACTGCAGTCCACT